ATATAATATAATATAATATAATATAATATAATATAATATAATATAATTAAAGTTCACTTGTGATTCTCCCAGTTCCCAATGAAACCTGGACTTAGTGTTCTACAATATTAGTTTAGTAAATGAATAAATGAACGAATAAATGAATACACGAATAATAAACCAAGCACCTCACTGTCATGTTATTTTGTTGGCTACCACACGATCAAGTTAGTACATTTCTTTTTTATTCGCTCACTCACTCTTTAACTCAGTTTTAACTGAAAACCTTCCATGTGTTCAGCATGCTGCTGAGCAGTCAAAAGGAATAGCCCCTGTTCTCTAGAAGTTAAGAGCCCAGCAAGAAAAAGTCAACATAAGCAGCTCTAGGGCTCTATGTGCACAAACACACAAGTTGATGCATGTTAATATGTTAGACATACTGAGTTAGACACACCCATTTAGTTGAAAAATAAACACTAAGCTGATGTTAACATGAAGCACCAATGCCACTGATAAGCAGGGATTAAGAGCATTTGAAGGCAACTCCCATTATCTCTTATTTGGCTGCCACAAGTTTGAGGGGCGTGTCACACAGAGCAGTCTAGAAGGGGATGGAGTTGTGGGATGACTGACCCATAGAAAACAGGTGGGGCTGTGGGCAGGAGATAATTCCGAGTTCCACAAGTGTGGCCTCAGAGAAAACTTGCTCTGGGTTACCTAGGTTAAGGTGTTCTTGAGAAACTTGTCCACAAAGTAGAGGAAATAGGTAATAATATGAGAGGAAACCAAAGAAATGAGGTAGCCTGAGGCCACCATAATAAAAAAAATTTTAATTTTGCTTAAATCTTTGACCCACCTTTAGCATATTCTTGGATGCTCTTAGAGGTATTCACTCCATTGAAGGAGGATATTGTACTTTTTTAACATTAACATTGAGTCAGGTTCTTTCTCTTAACCCAACAATGAGAGGGGAAAAGCCCCTTTTCTGAATGAACATATAGCAAACTGGAATATACATACTCATCCTTGTCCACCTTTTCTCGGAGCTTCTTTAGTTGTTTATTTTGGCCAAACTTCAAGTTTTGAATTATGTTCTCAAAGTATTCATCTTCCTTGTAGTTCAACTATATTACATAAAAGGTTTTGGGAAAAATAGTCAAAATTTCTGCTAAAAAAACATAGGGAACATTTTCTTAAATCGTATCAGTTAATAAAGTTAACGGAGAGCATTAAAACTTACCAAAGAAGGATTTAATTCCATTTAGCCTAGTTCTATATAATAGGTCACTGTCGCTCTAACTAAATCGCTACTTTAGTCTATTCTTCTGTAACTAATCAAATGAACCGAGTGTCAGACAAGCTTTCCTATATTGATAGTAACCCTTACATGACAGATAAGAGCACATTCCATTTTAGCACCTACAATGTACCAGGCACTGTTCTCAGCACTTTATATATTACATGTTTTTAATCCTTATAATAATCTTATGAAGATGGGTTGTTATTGCCATTTTAAAGCTGAGGAAACCAAGGCAATTAAGTCACTTGCCCAAGTTAGTGAATGGTGGAGCTGGGATTTGAACCCAAGAAGTTCCCTGTGGGTCTATGTTCTTAGCCATCAGACTCCTGCCACAAAGGCCCCCAGGACTCAGATGCTGCAGCCAGCTCATTTACAAGAAATAGTCAAGCTTTTCTATAAATGTAAAGAGAGAAGAGGACACTGTGGCTTGCAAACTCCCATGTTAGACCGGTAATCAATGGATTAGGAATCACTGACATCCCCACTCCTGGGCAAGGATCACCTCGTTGTCACCAGGGTCTCAAGGAGTTGCAGGGACCAAGATTAGCAACAGGATCCTCAGCTGGGTCTTAAATCAATAGTGTAGTGACTTGAATCAATTCCGTTCTCTTTTCATTGTTACATTACCAGAGGGGAATAAAACTGATTCTGGTTTTCAAATGGTAGGTTTTTGTTTTATTTTTTTTTTTGAATACAGAGGCATAACCTGGTTTTTATCCAGTGGAGGAATAATAGGAAAGCGAAGGGGAACTGAAGACGTGACTTTCCAGGCCTGGACCAGAGGAGATAAGGAGCCTGAGTGCGGCCTGTTGCTCATCACTTTGATGTCTACCCCTTGATGCTCTTTAAAGGACACCAGATTTTTCCAGTACTGTTCAATGGAATATATGGAGACCAAGATCACAAAAACCAAATATGAACCAGGCCAATGAAACAAAAGGCTAAAACTAAAACACAAGTTCTGGCTTCGGTGGAAAAGGCTTTTATATAACAAGACCTTTGGCCTTAGGCTACTTCACATCATTTCGGGCACCCCACAGCTGCAAATGACATCATCACCAGCCCCAGGTATCATTAGCACAGTCTGTATAGAGACTTACCTCGAGGTATTCATTATTCAGTTTGTTGTCATTTGAAATAATGTCATCAGGATAGCCAATTCTTTCTTTAATTGCTAAGGCCTATGAAAATTAAA